ATCCCGTAGGGTTGTTGTGTTTCGTAATCTGTTTGATGACAAGGAGTTTGAGGTTGAGCTTTTTGGTAACCTGGGGACTTGCTAACGGGAAGAAGCAATGGCATTAAATCCATCTCCACCCCATCTAGACTGATTGAACCACTCATGGGTTCGGATGTCATCACTTTAAGAGTAGACTCAGCTTTCCAACTACCTGGTGGACTTTGCATTGGAAGTAAGACAAGAAATAGGAGAAAAGCAATAGTGTGGATGAGCGATAACTCAGCCCTGGATTCAGTCAGTAGTTAGTATTACAGATGGAGAGGACTGGAAGGAGATATCATCCGTAAGGCCTAGAGATTGAATGTCTAGGCTGAGGGTAAGAAAAGACACTAGAGTGGAGGCCAGGGTCCTGATTTTGTGCAAAGAAATGAACTGGGTCTGTGTTTGACGTCCCAAGAACCTAGTTAGCCTAAGATCTTATGCCTGGTCAGAGAGCTGTGTCTTCTGCCAAGCGAGGCAGAAAGGACAGTCTTCCCTTGTAGATTGATTTAGGACAGGCAAGAAAAACTGAGGAGAGGAGCATCCCAACAAGTGTGTGGCATTGGCTGTAATCAATGTAGACCTGTCGCTCAGTCTGTCAGTAAGTGTTTATCACACGCAAAGTGTCAAGGACAATGGCAGGTGTTCGTGGGTTGAGAGAAAAGAGACAAGGAGACCTGGTATGCAATCTAGGTAAGGATACTTACATAGAAGGGACTCTCTTTAAGGAAGTGATGGAAACTCACGTAGTCTGCCAAGTGGCACCACAGATCCGTCTGTGAGTGAGAGCAGTGGGTTCTTTACCTGACTTCCAGAGCCCCTTAATCCCAGGGTATTGAATTTCATCTACACCCCATCTTTCCCCTCCCAACAGCACCCAGGTAGGTAACTAACCCCACTTTCTCCCCCTCCCCCTCCCATTGTTTCCCTCCAGAGACAGTGTGTGGAGTATGCCCTCAAGGCCCGGCCCCTGCGGAGGTACATCCCCAAGAACCAGCACCAGTACAAAGTGTGGTACGTGGTGAACTCCACCTACTTCGAGTACCTGATGTTTGTCCTCATCCTGCTCAACACCATCTGCTTGGCCATGCAGGTCAGTCCTTGGGAGAGCCCTGGTCCAGCAAAGTCTCCGTGGGGAGAATGCCGGTGACAGGTGGGGGGAGGCGGGGTGC